CACCCCAGGGGTATGTGCCTGGTGGAGCCTGTCCTAGATCCTTTTCTCCTGTCTCTCCCTCTTTGTAGGCGATATTCTGCACTCCTACAGCCCCACCTATGATCTATGTGCTAAAACCCACTTGGATATATCTAGCCTAGACTTTCTTCCCAAATCCAGACCAACTTATCCAAGTGTCTGACCTGTTATATTTATTTGACAGTCTCAAACTCAATGTGTAACTCACAATCTTCCCTCACTCAGCACACTCTTGCTCCTGCTATAATCACAGGTTTCGTCTCTACCTCGTTACGGATTGAATTGTAGGCCCCTAAAATCCGACAGTTGAAGCCCCAAACGTTCAGTGTTTCAGAATATGACTGCACTTGGAGGCAGGACCTTTAAAGAGGTGATTAAGTTAAAATGAGGCTGTTAGGGTGGCCCTAATCCAATAGGAGTGGTGTCCTTAAAAGAGCAGATTAGGACACAGAGACACCAGAAATGTGCTTGTGCAGAGGATTCAGGAAGGATCCAACTGCAAGCCAAGGAGAGACCTCAGGAGAACCAACCTGTCCACACCTCAACCTTGGAATTCCAGCATCCAGGGCGGAGAGAGGACAGATGTCCACTGTTGAAGTCCCGATCTGCAGCCCTAGCCAGCTAACACACCTTCTCCTCTCATCAGCCATCTAGGCTGCCCCACTCTGCTTCCTAAACATCTGCGTGGATTCAGATCTCTCACAGGTACCCACTGCAGACTTCCAAGGCTCTTGCTCGTCTACCACCCAGTCCCTAGGAGGTCAGGGTGGTCATGTAGAAATGGAAACAGAATCTTTGCCTTTGGCTTACAACCCCTCAAGAATGAAATCAAAACTYCTTACTGAGGCCAACAAAGCCTAGCCTGATCTGGCCCCTGCCCACTCTCTGGACTCCTGTTAGAATCACCAGCTCATCATCACCCCCCCCCACCCCAAGGAACAGCCACCTCTGAGAGTTCTTCCTGTGCACAGAGACACTAGTCTCCCCACACATCTTTACCCTGTAGGATAGCTTCCTTAGCTCTCCCTGTCATCTGCATGGCGATGCTCACGCACGCCTTTGGTCTCAGTCTAAATGTCCCTTCCTCAGAGAGGCTCTCCCTGGCCACCCGAGCTAGGTCGGCCTCCTGTAAGTCCTGACAGAATGCTGCCCTGCTTTTCCATAGCACTCTGCATAGTGCATAGTCATATTTGAACATCTGTCTCCCCTAGATAAGCTCCCTGAAGCTGTTTCACGTCTCTCTTTTGGGTATTCCCAGCAGACGACTTTCAAGAAATACAACTGAGGCCCCAACAGCACAGAACTCATTTTGATATCCTTGACAAATTAAATCTGCAGATTCTACTTCCAAGTGACGTCACAGTCTGAGGTTCCAGATGGACATACCTGTGTCGCAGGGGGGTGCTACTCAATCTACCACACACAGGGGCTTTGTTTCGTTCACTTTTATCCCTAGAACCCAGGATAACATCCGGGATATCATCTATTCTTGATACACTTGTAAAATAAATGGCTGTACTAAGAAAAGAAGTGAAAAGGGGGAGTAGGAGACCCCCTGGAGGTGCCAAAGCAGAGCACCAGTAACAAAGCCAGTTGAAGACAGATCAGCAGATGCAAACTCCAAGGGGAATCACCTGAGGATCCATTACCCAACGCTTGGAGCCTCATCTAGACGGAAACACAAAAGCCCGAAGAGTAAGGACTTGGGCAGACAGGGTATGGAAAGCAGAGGCTGGGCTGTGTGAGTCCCACCCCCGGCCAGACATAAGACAGAAAGGGGGGGGTGCCTGTCACTTCAAGTGTAGGGACAGGAGTTTCTTGAGGTGACCCCAGGAGCCTGAGGGGTTTCACACTTACACATGAGCAAGCAACAGCAGTTTTGCACGGGGAAGTAACCATTTCCTCTCTAAAAGTGCCTGAATCCTGGGGTGCAGAGGTAGCAATAAAAATATCACCCTGGGGGTGTTTTTAAAGGATCTTGCCCCAAAGAGCATATCAGAGAGAGAGAGAGAGAGAGAGAGAGAGAGAGAGAGAGAGAGGGGCATTTGGTCATGACGGGCAAAAAGGGGCAGAGGTCAAAATGACCAGGAACGATGCTGTCCTTCTCAAGGGAATGACAACCAGATGGACCCAGCAGGAAGTAGGGGAGAAGGCCTTTGAGAACCCCTACAACCTGAACAATAAGAGTCAGCTTCAAAGTCGGCCCCACCTGGAGGGTGGGATGCCATCTTCCAAAACCAGCGTCTAGTTTCTCCTATGCTGCATCACTGCCCAGCAGTGGCAGAAGCAGCGTCATGGAGTAGGAATGGTGGCAGGAAGGTCTGGGGGAGCTGGCACAGGGTCTCTGATAAACCCAGTCTAACTCCCTCTTAAGATTGGGAGCCACCTCATCTCAAAGGCATGAAAAGTTAATTTCGGCTTTACTATATATTACTGCAATTTCTAAACTTGCTTGGAATGCCTGCCCGTGCCTTGAAATCACCCATGCCTGGCTTTGCCTGGCCCGATAATGACCCTCTCTGAAACTCTAGTGGCACCTCATAAATTCTGATGTTGGGATCTAAATTTACTCCCTAAGTGCTGGACCATTTAGATTATTAAGCTACTACCTACCTTTGTGTTATGCTTGTCAAAATCCTGTTATCTGTAAGTTCTCAAGACACCCACTCACCCCCACCCCCACCGCTGCCTTTTTGCAACTTTCTRTGCTATAAAGCTGTGCTCCTAGAGAGCTGGGATGCTGTCTTCTATTCCCATGGGTTTCAGAGAGACAGCCCCGGCCGGTAGGAATTGCAAGCTTGCTTTAATTTGATTTAAATGGGAGTTGGTGGTCTTTTCTTTGCATCGTGGTTTAACAACCCCAGCTGCACCAAAAATTCTCACCTGCCTCCAGGCCCAGCAAGGAGAGGGGAGCCAAGTCTTCCCTTTGAATGAAGATTAAAGTGTAGATTAGTATATTGGGTCTAACACTGCAAATTGTTGAACTGAAATTAATACATAGGCCGGGTGTTTGGAGTTACTGAACTAAGACAAAGTGAACACAGGACTGCAGGACCAGAAGTCATGGAACCTGCCCAAGTCCCAAGGGAAGCACTGGCCCCACTCCACAGGCTTAGAGGGACTGCAGAGGACAAAAATAAAGTGGCTTCTATGGTTACACCTCAGGCGTCTCACTGTTCCAATTTCCCTTCACCGTGGTGTCAGGTGATCCTTGCTGGGTCAAGAAGGCCATAAACCATTTTCAATACCAAACTGCTCCTCTCCAAAAGTCCCTATCTCAGTAAATAACACTTCCATTTCACAGATGTTCAAGCTGAAAATTTAGAGTCAACTTTTATGCCTCTTTCTCCCATATCCATCTATAAACCTTGTCAATTCGGCCTTCAACATGTAACAACAAGCCAAGCCCATCTCCCCTTCTCCACCACCTCTGCCTTAGCCAAACTGTCACCCCACATCTCTCTGTCACCTTTTCCCATGCAGTCAGAGTGCTCTATTAAAAACAATAAAGGTTGGTGATGTAGCTCAGTGGCAGAACAGTTGCCTAGTACATGTGAAGCCCTGGATTTGTTCCTAGAACTGCCAAAAAAAAWAAAGTCAAAGAAAAACTAAAAATAAATCAGATTAATACCTCTCTGCTCATTACTTCTTTGCTCAGAGTCCCACAATGGTTCCCACCCTTCTCAGATTAAAGCCCAAATTCTTGTCATGAATTACAGGGACATGTGTTTGAACAAGTGCCAGAGTTTTCCCAAGGCTTTGAAAGGGTCACCTGAAAGCAGTCTCATTGTGCTGAGGGCAAAGCTTAGAAGACACACACCCACAAAAAAAAAAAAAAAAAAAGTTACCACATATTTTCTCAAAGAAGTATCTGTGAAAACATTGGGCATTTAAAAAAAAAAAAAAGATTTAGCACATCATTAAAGTGAAAAATCTACCTGCCATATTCTCTCTGCTCAGGGCTCTTTTCACACCACCTGGAAGTAATGTTTCAAGTGCTCCTTAGACCTCAAAACCAAGTCCAAGTTCTCTTCTGTGACTGCCTCCTCCTCTACTGCCTTCCTACTCCATTCAATCTGAGCCCAGTGCCCTGCAGAATAAATATTTCTTTCATGTCTTTTAAACTCCAGATTCATATGCAGAAATTGAATGGAAATCTGTGAAACAAGAGTCTGCTCTGCATTACTACTATGGAAGAGTAAATTTATCTATTGGCTGACATTTTAAGAATCTGTATGTATACTGCATGTATTATGCTCTCAGAATTACTATTTTCATATCTTAAAGACTGAAATTGGGATGTTTTGCTATTTTTAGAAAAAGTATATAAGCTTTCTTTTTTTTTCTTTCTCCTTAGTGCACAAAATAATGGTACCTTGAAATTGGTTCATCTTGTTTGTTTCATCTTGTTCATCATGTTTAATTAAACAGAACATAAATCGTGTGCATCTCATTCTTAACTACCAAGTTATTATATCATTCCTTATGACAGCTGGGTGTTTTTGGCTGTGTTAAACTTAAATGTAAATTAAGTGGTTTGAGGATTGCTAAATAACCTCTGGGCTTCCAAATTGCAGGTTTCATTATATGAATGGAAATGCTCCAGAAACTGCAAAGCAGGAGCCACATTTTGTTAATTTTTTTTTCTTATTTAATAATTACTAGTTAACAGGAATAATCGATCCTTTAAAACTGTCTGATCATTCCAAAAGCCGAAGAACCTAGGCGACACAGAGGATTTGCACAGATTTGCAAAGATAACTGGGTCTCTATCGGCCCCCAAGCCGGCCGGCTAAACCTCTCACCTCACAAGCCCAGCGGCCGAAGACGAACTCCCATCAGCCACCAGACGCGGGAGGCGCGCCCCCCTAGGCCTCTTCTAAGCATGCGCAGCTCCTTGCGCATGCCCACTTGCGCATGCCCACTGACATCCCCGCGCATGCCCAGTGACACCCCCGCGCATGCCCAGTGAGCAGCGGTCGTGACGGGCGACGCAGGTCGCGCAGTGCCGGCAGAGCAGCCTGCGTCCGGCATGAGGGCTTGGGGTCCGACTGCTGCCTCCTCCGTGCCCCAGCGCCATGGAATGCCTGAGGAGCCTGCCCCGGCTCCTGCCCCGGCGCGCCCCGCGAGCCCTGGCCTGGGGCCTGCCTGCTGCGGCCTCCTGCGGCGGTGCGGCGCCCCTGCTCGGACGGAGCCGGGTCCAGCCGCTGTGCTGGCCCCGCCGCCCAGGTACCGTCCCGGTCTCTGGGTCCCGCTCTGCTGTGCGAGCCCCGCCGGCCAGGTGCTGGCCCCGGGTCCCAAGGCTCCGTGCTGGCCCCGCCGGCCAGGTGCTGGCCCCGGGTGACAAGGCTCCGTGCTGGCCCCGCCGGCCAGGTGCTGGCCCCGGGTGACAAGGCTCCGTGCTGGCCCCGCCGGCCAGGTGCTGGCTC